GTGAGAGGTGCCCTCTCTGTACCTGTAGGAAATGAGCATCCTTATCTCCAAACACAAAGGGACACCAAGAGGAGTACCAAGACACCAAGAGGTCTTGCTAGGTTTCCCCCAGTTTACAACAATTACCTCCCATTCCTTAACCTATCACACTCCTCCACAACTGTCCACTCTCCACCCAACCTAAAGTAAAAGTATACAGATCTGACTGTTTCTTTGGGTCTTCATTTCTGTATGAAAGCTCCCATGTCCTATAAAACTTATATTAAACAAATATGTATACTTTCCCTCTCTTAATCTATCTTTGTCAGTTTACTTCTCAGACCAAGCCAGGGACCCTTAGAGGACAGAGGAAAACTTTTCCATCCCCTACAAAGGCCTCTGTGCAATGACCCACTGCCATCTCTTCAGGCTTAGTTCCCACCACCTTCCTTGATGGAGTCCTGGCACCAGCCACAACGGGCTGCCCAGGATCCTGCCCTGAACTGTCCCACCCCTCTGCCTTCGCCCTGGACTCTCCTCCTATATGAACTCCTTCTCTTGCTCTGGCTGTCAGAGCTACCGATCTTTCAGGATCTGCCTCAAATATCCTCTCTGCCCTGAAGTTTTTCCTGAGTTCCCAACAAACCTCCATCCCCCAAACTAAGTACAATTTTTGCCCCACTTTGACTCACCATAGCTTTTGATTCTTACTTTGTCAATGATGTTATATTTGGCCTCAGTTTATATCATTGTATACTGTAGCCTTACATGTTTCACAAAGGTTAGGCTCCAAATTCAGCGAGCAAGGGGGAAAAAAGTTATTGTCTAAAAACTCCCCAGAAATTTCTTAAGAAGATGCCAATTCAGAGAACAGTTGCTCTCCCTAGGTCTACGTCATTGTCCTTCAGCATCAGAAAACATCTCTGTTGCCCTCAAGATGAAATGAATTGACCTGCAGGGAGGGACCCCATAGGCAACTACAAAGCTAAAATCACCCTCAGCTTGGCCAAATATGAGAGTTGCAGGAACTGAGCAAGATAGTTCTTCATTCCACTCCCTCCAAAGCATGTGACAACTGAGTAGAATGAGAAGAGGAACTGCCCTCCCCATTTAAATTCTTCTCTTGGTCTCAGTGCATATGGTTGACCTCATATAAATTAAATGCACAGATGATAGGATTTTGATTTCTGACCCCACCACTTACTAGATAGGTAACCATGGCCAAGTTATTTAATCACTTATTTTCTCTACACCTCAGTTTACATCTGCAAAAAGGAAGAGTAGTAAGGCCTAATTAACAAGCTTGTTGTAAGGGTTGAAATTAGTTAGCCTGTAAAATAATACTGTTTACTTTCTAGTTTTTTAACAAAAATTAATAAGCCTATATATAGAAAGCACATAGAAAAGTGTCTTGGCACGTATTAGTGCTCAATAAATATTACCTATTATTTCTTCTCTGTCTTTTCTCATCTGCTTGTAAAGGACTAACTAAGACACACTTAGTGCCTATCACAGAGTATGTACTCCATAAGGGTTGGCTATTATTATTATTGTTATTATTATTATCATTATCATCATCATCATCATCATTCCACTACTGTGTCCTCCCTATTGCAAGTTTTTTGGGGGCAGGGACATTATCTTACACAACATTGTGTGCTTGCAGTGACTCAGATAGTGCTTGGAACATATGAGTCACTCAAAAAATAATCAAAAATCAAGTAATGTTTTCCCCCTCCAAAACATTGTTACATTGATTTTAATTTTTATAAGTTCATAAATAAAAGGAATGTATATTCATGAATACCTGAATAACTTTCCTCCCCTCTTAAACTGTCTTTACCATCTTCCGCAAAATTCTTCTTTGCAAGAACTCCCCCAGGTGACACTGAATAACTTCCTGAATAGGAGTTATTCAAGTACCAGAGTTGGACTGAATTGCTTGGTGGTAAATGTTGACTTTGGCTTCTCTGAGTTTTACTAAGGACATTTGTATATAAAAACTGATCTTTAAAGCTAGTAATTCATGGTCTGTGGTTTGAAACTACCTTGGAAATGATGCCAGGACACCAAGAAATATATAACTCTAGATTTGTACCTGATTACAAATTTTTTTGTATGTTGGTCTCCTGTTTTTTAAATAAAGACAATAATACCTAGTGACCTCAAAAACTTGGTAACAAACAGTAATAATAAATACAATGCTTAGGAATTTAGTATGACTGGAGTCTATTAGTTAAAAGACTCCATTGTCAGAGATGTTTTTTTCATATAAGTGCTTATTTAGGAAGGTTTTTCCCTTTCTACAGCTCACATCTTTCAAAGGGACCACACAGAAGAGAGGGAAAGGTAGACTTTCAGACAGCATCATATTGAAACAACCTTTCCAATCAATGAGATGACAGTGGTGTCAGCCAGACGGAGCTCTGTTACCCAGATAGGTGTCAAATACTCCTCTTTCTTACTTTAAGAAATGGAGAATTGTTATCCTCCTAACAACAGGTGTGATCTTTTCTCTTAGGAATAAGACCCACTTCTCTTGGGAAAATTCCACGGTTAGCCTGCTTAGAAGCTGAGACCTAAGTGTGAAGAAGAACTGTCCAGCTTTGAACAAGGAGAGGGATTTGTCGGCTGCTCTGGAGAGGCAGTGGGTGGAGGTGGAGCTTTTGAGATGGTAGAACATTAGCTGTGCCCTGTGAGATGCATCCATCCAGCAGCCCCACAAATTCTTGGCAAGGTTATTAACCTCACAGAGAGCTTGGCAGATATGGAATCCAGTGAAAACAGTGAGGAAAGTGATCCTAAGTTCCATCTTTGCCTAAGGCAGGGCCACAGCTTCGAAGGATTCACAGAAATCTCACAGCAGGATCTGGACTCTCACAGTCCATGAAGTACATGGGTGCTGGCATCAAGTTTTCCTAAATCTCTGAAGGGTGGGAAGGCTCCAGTCCCATCTGGTTTACATTGGTGGTAGTATTAAGACTCTTTAAACAAATTGGAGGGAAAATAAGAAATAAACATTTTTTTAAGTACTTTTAAGTGAAACTGTAGAGCCTTTTGCCTATAGGCAGACCACTTTCACCATTAGAGCTGGAATACTTTCTTGCTATTTTGAGCAAAACTACTTAAAAATGGAGGTTGCTTTACTTTCTTGTAACACCCACTTGTATCCTATCTAGAAATTAGGGGTCATCAAAACAGAAATACAAATTTTATCCTTTCTTATCTGAAGATTTAATTTTTTAGAATAAACTTGGCTTTTTTCTTATTACAAAAATAACACATGGCCATTTTTTTTGAAGTTTTAAAGCACAAGAAAATAAAGCCACATCTCTTAAAATTATAAAATAAATTGATGCAAGCCTCTGTTAAATGTAAAGCTCATTCTCAGTATGGTATGGATCACATATGCTGAGAGTGAATTAGAGGTGAAGGTTACGGAAGTGTCATTGTTGCTTTGGGAAAAAAGATAAAAGAAGAAAGAACTTTGCCCTTTACCCATTGAATTATCTGGACTCTTGATGGCACATGTCAGAAACTGACTTGAGTCAGCTTAGCCAAATATGGCAATAAATTTATTGGTTCATGTATTCAAATCATAAGAAAGGCAAGGACAATTGTAACAAGACCTCTCACTTTCAGGATGCTTCTTCTCTATCTTCTCTGCTTCTCTTACTAGTTTGGGTTTATTCTCTCAAGCCAGCTGCTACATGAAAGATACTGTGGCCTTCAGGCTCACATCCTCACCATGCCCATGGGCCTCATAGATAGAGTGAGAGTGGAGCAATTCTTACAAATATCAGGAGTGTTATTTCCAGAAGAATAGAAAAATGTCAGAAGAAAAAAATTCAGTATAGTTTATTCCTTTATTGGCTGCAACCTCCCCTGCCACACACACTCATAAGCATACTCTTCTTCCCATACACGCGATTCCAAAAGAATCCTTGCCTCAGCACTCTGCAGCCGCTTGTATCCTTGTCCCAGCTCCAAGGTCGCTGTGTCATTTCAGTTCATGATCAAGATGGATGGGGGACTCATTTCCTTACAGCTTACAAATAAACAATAAATATAAATATCCCCAATGCACCTAAGTGTACAATGATGGAGAAAAAAATAAGACAAACATTCCTTCAAAAGGAATGTTCAAATGAGGGAAAACGGAGAAAGCAACACTCAGGGCACAGACCACTTCTTCCTGGAAAGGGGTAGCAAGTCTTTGTGACTCAGAGCATTGAATCTTGGAGGGAGCTTTGCCGAAGGTACTACTAAGACTCTGTCTACAAATATCCTAGTTGAATGGGCAGAATAATACATTTATAGCTAAGGTACAACTGCTACAGTTTCCATGCAGTAGCTTTGTGAGCCTAAAATTTTGCCAGTGTTGCTTGGACATTATTGAACCCAGTGGCATTTAAATTGAATGGCAACTAGAAAAAGAAAGAAAGGTGAAATATATACGTATATCAAATCACTATATTGTACACCTTAAAATTGTGCAATGTTGTATGTCAATTATATTACAATAAAACTGGAAAAATAGAACCAAAAATAAATTAAAAGAAGAAAAGAAAGAAAGAAGGAAAAGAAGGAAGGAAAGACCTGCAAAAGGAAAGAAGCTCTTGCTGTCTTTTACAGTAGGCATTTACACCTTATTGTTACACTGAATGCGGGATTTTAGGCAGATCTGAGGGTAAAAAAAGCTCCTAGAGGAGGAGTGGGGCATCCTTCTCTTTATTAAGGAGAATCTTTAGCCAAAATTTAAAAACCTTTACTTTTATGAAGTAACAAATATAAAAAAACTCATTGATAAGTATGAATATGTCTGACAAAGAAAGCAAATCCATGAAAGGGCCAGTATCTAAAGTACATCTTAGAAAAAAAGGAGACATGTTAACGTGGCAGCAAGGACAAGAAGATGAACAGTACAGTAGATTAATTAGGTTCCAGCCTGACCTTTCTGGTATTTAGATTTAAGTCCGATGGATCCCTCAAGCAAGCCGAAGTAGCGGGAGACCATATGTAAGCCAGCTATCCCTGCTGTGATGTAACTATGCTGCATTGACTTTTGGGTGTGACCAAACTAAAGGACTGGGGTGGGGGTGGGAGAGGCAACTACCAATGCTTCCTCAGTAAACAAGCATGTTAAATAATTTCTTTTGGTGGGCGAAGGGAGGTAATTAGGTTTATCTATTTATTTTTCTTAATGGAGGTACTGAGGATTGAATCCAGGACCTCATACATGCTAGGCTTGTACTCTGCCACTGAGCTATATATACCCTTCCCCCAGATAATTTCTTATTTTACTTCACTATTCTAAGTTTAGTGGATTCATGAAAATAGTTATATGCATAGAGCAACGAATAGCAAAACTCAAAAATACTATACTTTTGAATATAGTTAAAGGATATAAAAGTTTTAGGAAGTTAAGTTTACAGAATTCAGAAGTTTTAAAAGTTGAATTTTTCCAGTACGGGTTAATACCATATTATTCATATACAAGTTACTCAATTCTGAACATAAAATTGTAGATGAAATGAAAAACAAAGGATTTACACAAAAAAAAGTTTAATGGATTATTTGAGTTGTTTTATTCTGAATATTCTAGTTCCATTTGTATTTATTTACTTAAGAAAGGTAGAGAAAACCATGTCAATAAAAGAAAATTTGCTGCATTATGTTGCTCTTTATGGAGAAATGTAAGAGTTGTAATAGCATCATCAATATAACTAAAACATTTCAATATTTAGAAAATTAATATAAATTGCTTCTAAATTTTTTCCTTAATTTTTATGTTTAGGCTGTAAAGGAGCTATTGTTCTCAGATGCCAGCGTCTCAGACTTTTCCCTTTGAGTTTTTGAGTTTTGTGTCTGAGATTGTTAGGTGATGGGGAAATGACTCCTCAAATAGGTATTTCAAAGTAGTTTAATAATTCTGTTGAAAATGAAAACAAGAGTATTTTCACATTGAAACTTTCCTTTTTTATTCTTATATCCACAGGAGGGGGAAACTTATGTAAACATTCTGAGTGAAAATGATACTGTTAAACAAATCGTTTTAAAAGTTAGGTTAGACTGTACATTTAAAAATGTTTGGGGGGAGGGTATAGCTCAGTGGTAGAGTGCATGCTTTGCATGCAGGAGGTCCTGGGTTCCATCCTCAGTACCTCAATCTAAATAAATAAATAAATAAAACCTAACCCCCCCCCAATTTAAAAAAAATTTTTTTAAAAAGTTGAATTTTACATTATGTATATTTTACCACAGTAAAAACAGTTGAAAAAGGGGAAAAGTAGAATTAGACTTACAGATGGAAGTGCATCTTTTAGATACATGATTAAGTTTGCCGCTTCACTGATTGGTTGCTTATTTTTTCATGAGAAAAATATTATGTTCCAGATCTGCACTATTCAGCACTGTCACCACTAGCCACATGTGGCTTTTGAGCATTTTCATTGTGGCTTGTCCAAATTGACATGTGCTGTAAATGTAAAATACTCCAGATTTCAAAGAGTGCAAAAAAAAAAAGTAAAGTAACTTAGTAGTAGTTTTTTTTTTATTAATGACATGTTGACTTGATAATATTTTGGATATATTGAGTTAAATCAAATTTTAAAAATCAATTTCTTTTTTTTAACTTTTTTTTAATGTGGCTACTAAAACATTGAAAATTATAGTCATCGCTGGCACTATATTTTTGATGAACAGTGCTGCTCTGGACAGACTTTCTTACAGCAAGAAGGGCTTAGTTAACTCTTGTCTCATCTGGGGAGAGGGAGGTGGGGGACAATGTGGGCAGTTCTCCCAGAAAAGGAAAACCTAAAACCTGAAAATCAAGAAATTATTCTTATAATAGGATACTGAAATATTTGTCTTGAACTGTATGACTTCAAAATCTATTCCAAAGCCATTATCTTATGAAGTTTTATTTTTAGGTTTAACCAGAAAAGCTAAATCCTCTGACACTTCTCCAGATAATTTACCCAAAATATTTGAAATAGAACAGTATAATATTTTTCCTTCTAGAATGGAATTTTAACTTTAACTTTATAAAATTTCTGGAAATACTTCCATGTTTAAAATTTTTTAAAAATAAAGCTGTGTGGTAGTAAGACCAACACTATTTGTTTCATTGCCTTCTGGCCTTTGTCCATGTACTTAGAAAATGAATACACACACAGGATCTCTTTAATTACTTGTTTCCTTTGTTTACAGGCAGCATTTAGATTCAGTGTGCTATCTACCTCTTTCCGTCCTCTTTAGTAACCCTCTTTTCTTCAGAGCACCACATGCAAAATCTCAAACCCCCGTGCCTTGCACCAAATCCCGATTGCTTTCTAGCATGAAAGAGAAATCACATGAATATTCACTTCCTTCCTGAATTGTAGTTGCAATTGGGTTTGATTATGAATTCCCATCAATCAATTGCCCCTTCATCCTTCTGCTTCCTCCACCTGTGCACCCCCCTCCTCCCCTCCCCTCTCCCCCTCACACTCTCTTCCTCTCACATCTCTGGTGAGCCCGGTGTTGGAAGCTGTCTGACTTAGTGCCCTCTTCTGTTTAAAGCTTTCAGTGCACATCCAGACAACTGACCATTTTCTCAAAGAAAATGAGCTCTGAAAGAGCTTGAAATTATTGGAAGCAAATCTAGCAGGTTTGTGTGCAAGTCGAAAGTTGTATAAATGGAAGCTTCTGAGAAATGTGGGGTCAACAAACAAATTCAAAAGGACCTGTTTTCATTAACTCAACAATAGTGTCTGAAAATTAGATTTGTCTCTTTCCCTTTCCAGAACTATGCATAGTACTTTTAAATTTCCAATATTTCTGATTTAGACAACGTCAACATTCTTTTAAAAGTCAACTAAACCAAGTTTGGCTGCTTTCTTATTAGACAGGGTGTATCTTGCTACATTAATGTTGACTTTTTTTTAAGTTGTTTTGACAAAAAGGGATGTTTGTTTAAATTTGTACCATGTTTTTGATGACAGCCCCATTACTGCCTTCTTTACCTGCTGAAGGGACAGAGGGGGTCAGAGGATAATGTTCTCCAGTCTAATCAGATTATAACTTGGTGGGTTTGTTGTTATAAAGATCAAATGAGATAACATGTAAAAATGGCTTCACACTATAAAGCCAAAGGTGTTACTAACCAAGTATAAAATTAAACAATCTCTTTTGGATTTGAAGATGAAAACATTTGGGGACCCAATTTGATGTTTTGCATAGTAAAAAAGTTCTGTTTGTTATAAAAGTTTAGCAGCAATGTAACCCTGATATAACTGTCCCCAAGGCCTTAGAGACACCTTATAAACCATCATGATCAAGACATATAAGGAGAAAAGTTTTGGCTGTAGTGAAATTAAATGGTCCCCAGATCTGAGTGGTCTATGTAAGATTTTTTTTTAGTAATACTTAATTTTTTAAATTGTGGTAGTAAGCACCTAATACAAAATTTATCATCTTAACTATTTTAAGTGCACAGTTCAGTAGTGTTAAGTATATTCACATTGTTGTACACAGACCTCTAGAACTTTTTCAACTTGCAAAACTGAACCACTATATCCATTCCTATTTTCTCTTTCCCCCCAGCCCCTGACAGCTGCCATTCTACTTTCTGTTTCGGTGAATTTCACTACTTTAAATACCTCATATAAGTGGAATCATGCAGCATTTGCCTTTTTGTGACTGATTTACCTCACTTGGTGTAATGTCCTCGTGGTTCATCCATGTTATAGCATATGACAAAGTTTCTTTCCTTTTTAAAGCTGAATAATATTCTGTTCTACATATATACAACATTTAGTCTATCCTTTCACCAGCTGATGAACATTTGGATTGCTCCCACATGGTCTACAGAAGATTCTTGTTTTAATAATAGTGTGCTCCAAATTAGTTAGCTTGTCTAAGATCAAAGGAATACATAGGCATACATCACCTCCAATGAGAGAATGTGTTGCAGAGACATGTGGGGACTTGGAGTGACAAGAAAGGAAAGTAGCTCTGGAAATTTCCTCATCCAGCTGCTCCTACTTTCGGAGACTGAGTGACAGGAGCTACAGGAACCAGGACTTTTATTCACAGCAGCAATCTTAACTAGAATGATTCACCTTCTTTTTGGTATAAAGCGACTCATCTTCCTGTATAATTCCCAAAAGAGATATTTTATTTGAGTCAGTTTGTCACCATTTTTTGTGGCATAGTATCCTGGGACAGAATGCTACCTAGACCTCCTCAGTGGCAGCTGGCCCACCTCATGCCTTATGACGCTGCCTTTAACCTGTGCTCCAGTCCTGGATGGAGTCTGCTATGACCAGAAGAGCAGGCTGAGTTTCATCTGAAGTGCATGCCGTAGGCAGAATAGCTCAGATAGGAAGCAGTCATTTAGTCTCTTCCTTTAGGATGGTGCTCCAAATGTGTAAGTCTGTGCCTTATAGAACACACACGCGTGTGTGTGTGTGTGTGTGTGTGTAGCCAAACTTGAGTTACATGTCTCTTCTATTCTTCCCCTTAGCACCTCTCATTCATTCATTCATTCACTCACTCACTTATTTGTACTGTCATTCAACAAAAATACATCAAGTCCTCTGGTGTCTGGTGTCTTCGTTTGCCCCTCCCACCCACCCTGTCAGATGCCCTGAGGATACCCTGTGCAGGCAATATTCATGCTCTGGACCTTTTCAGGCTTCTTCTCCACATTAAAAGTTGGAGGTTCAATGCTTCAATCCTTCAGATCTCTGCTATCTTTTTTTCCTTCATATTTCTGCTATCTTAATTAATTAGTCAACACATTAATTAATGAGACAGAATGGGTGTTAACTGGTGTTAATATGGTATGCATTTAAGGAAAATTATTTGCTCTTAAAATAAGGCCCTTCTGAGGATAATGCTTTCACCCAAAGGAGCAGGACTTGTTCCATAATTTGTGGGATTCAGTGCAAAATGAGAATGCAGAGCCCCTTGCTCAAAAATAATTAAGAGTTTCAAGACAGCAAGAGCAGAACATCAAACGAAGCACAGGGCCCTTCTAAGTGTGAGGACCCTGCAGCTGCACAGCTCGTACACCCATGAGGCCAGCTCTGCAAAGCAGTAATGTCAGGTTGGAATTTGAAGAACGTGGCAGGCCGTTAGAGAAGATGGTTTGAGTGGGTGGTTCTCCTGTTATTTTTCAAACCATACCACATAGGCCAGTCTCTGTTGAAATGACTTGTAAAACTATATTTCCTGGAGTGGAGAAAAGAGTACAGCTCTCTGGAGGTCACTGGGTTGTACGAAGAAGAGTCAAACAATGATAGAATAACAGAGAGGTTAAATAATGTGCCCAACGCCACATATTCAGTAGTGTTTGAGCCAAGACTACAGAACCCTTGTTCACTCCTTTCTACCTTCTGCCTCCTCTATCACTACAGTGTAGACAAGGCTTGGGATCACAGGGAAAATAACATATTTATTTTAGTTTGTTCAGACTGACATAGGTCCCATTGCTTTAAATGTCCCTGAAAATGTGTCTAAAGGTTGAAAGCAATGCATTGAGCATATTGGGGGGGGGTGCATAATTAGGTTTATTTATTTATTTTATTTATTTATTTTTTAAATGGAGTTGCTGGGAATTGAACCCAGGACCTCATTCATGCTAAGCATGTGCTCTACCACTGAGCTATACCCTCCCCCAAGCATATTTTTTGAAATTGTAACTAACATACTGTTTTAAAATAAATTTACCTTTATGGACAGGGTTGTACAACATTGTGAATATATTTAATGCTGGTGACTTGTACCCCTAAAAGTAGTTAAAATAGTAAATTTTGTTATGTATATTTTAGCACAATAAAAAATAAATAAATTTATCCTAGATATCCCAACTTTTCGGACACCCAGTATGTGTACTGACATTGAAAGACACCCAATATAATTATTGAGTGAAGGATTATATTATTCTACACTATGGATAGAATGTATCATTTACATATAAGAATTCGGAAATGAAGCATAGAAGGGAACCTGCAAGGTTTTTGTAGTCACACACTTCTGCAGTATTTAAATTGTTTACAGTGAGCATATATATTGCTTTAAAAATCTTTTTTGTAAAGGTATTTCTATTGGGAGAGGAAAAAAGAAGAAACCAATATGTCAGAAACAGGCCTGACAGTCAGGAGTGGGCGAGAGCCTGAAGCTGCAGGTCCTGGGCTGCCTGGCTGGCCACTGCTGAACTCTCTGAGATGGGTTTCATCGTTGTGAGCAGACTGGTCCTGCAGGTTCAGAGGCACGCTCCAAAAATAACCTGGACTCCTAGATGTAGAAGATGCCTGATGGGTTACCTGGTCTGATTTCCCACCTGGATATACAACCTTCTAAATCTCCTTTATCTCAACCCTTACTCAACCGCTTCCCACCCACCCTGTTGCTATAGACTAATGATTGCTGGAAACTTCTTTCTTGTATTTAATATGAAAGCTGCCTCCCTATAACCAATAATTACTCACTCTAGCTCTTCTCTTAAGGGCATAACAGAAAAAAAAAAGATTCCATCTTCTATATGCCAGCCCTCTATTTCCCAGTTGCCAAGTCTGTCTATCCTTCCTGTTCTCTATTTTGAGCCCAGCAAGCATCCTCAGTGAATCTCCATGTGTTCCTACACCGTATCAGTTGTTTTCCTATGGACACCATTTCCCGCTCTCTAAATGTGGCACTCTTGAGAGTAACAAAGTATGGTAGACTGTACTTCTGTTGTGCAACCTAAGATTATATTAGTATTTTTAGCAGCCATATTGTGTTGTTGGCTCTAGGTGAGTTTATTGTCACTGGAAACTCAAGGATTGCAATCCAAGCAGTTTGTTTCCCTTCTGAAAAATTATGGTTTTTGAATCTAAATGTAAGCCTATTTTTTCAACTGAATCTTTCAGTCTATCAAGCTCAGATTTGTAAGAATGCAACAAACTTTGTAGGCTTCTTTCTTATTCCAAAAATTATTAATACCTATTCACTGTGATGTTTTTGAAAACCCATATATATATAGACAAAAAGGAGAAACTAAAAATTGCTGATCAATCCATCATCCTGACCTTATTACTCTTAATATTTTGGTAGTAAAAATAAATATATGTATAAGTAAATCCATCTCCACTTCTTTCTATGCATAACAATATTTTCCCTAGTAATTGGCTTATATTATATACACTATTGTATAACTTTGTTTTTTCACCAAATAATATGTTTATGTTTCTTTTCCCATGTTAAATATCCTCTCACAGCATATTAAAAGAACGAGTTTCACCATTTACTTATTTATTCAGTCACATGGTCCTGGATATTTGTTTCTATTTTTTTCACATTATAAATAGAACTTCAAAGACTATCCTTGAACTTACATTTTTATGTATATTCATGATGATTTCATTGGAGATCATTCCTAAAAGTATAATTGCATAAAAGGGTACGCGTTTTTTAAAGTTTTGGTACCTGTATTAGTCTGCTCAGGCTACCATAATAAAACACCACAGACTGGCTGGCTTAAGCAGTAGACCATTCTGGAGGTTCGAGGTCCACAATCAGGGTGCCAGCAAATTTGTCTTCTGATGTGAGCTCTTCCTGGCTCATAGAGAACTGCCTGCTCCCTGTGTCTTAACGTGGTCTTTCCTTTGTGCACATGTGGAGAGAGGGAGTTTTGGTGTCTCTTCCTCTTCTTGTAAGGACAACAGCCTTATCGGATTAGGGCCCCACCCTTATGACCTCATCTAACCTTACTTATCACCCTAAAGGGCCTATCCCCAAATACAATCACACTGGGGGATTAGGGCTTCAACATATGCATTTGGAGGGAGGGGCACAAAAAATACTCCCACTCGATGTGCTTGAGAGTGCCTACCCTGCACTCCCACCAGGAGTTTAACATTTACAAATCTAGATTACTTTGAAAATGGATTTTGCAGACCTTCAGAGTTGGACAAGTGTTCATAGCTATACAGCAGGAGGCTCAACTAAGGGACTTAGGTCAGGATACACATTTCAATATTAAGTGCTTCTTGGACTCTGAGGTGCATTTCCTTGCCTGTGAGTTCCACACCACCTACAAACCTTAGTCATCCTTGGGCCCAGGAGGCACCCACACCTCATAATTAGTATGTGCACCTACATACTTTGTTAAATCCCTGATGGAAGCAGTGCCTTAGTGCAAGGTTTAGAAAAGATGGGAATGAATTGCTGAGAAGGATCTAAAAAGTATTCTGGTGGATGAATTAGGTGGAATATTGAAAGAATGTGAAGGGAGGGGTCATCTCGAATCCTGGAATTGAGAAGAATTCCTTGATACTGAGTTCCATAGCCTTCGGGTACTTATTTGATCACAGCTGCTTTTCTAATCCCTAGTGGCAGCTGGGCCTTTAAGGGACCCTTTTTTTACTTGACCAGGGAAATAATGACCCCTTTCTCTGTGTGGATCTCATAGCCAGACAGGAATAGGCCATATATTCCTAACTTTCAGACAAGAAGAATGCAATACGTTTTTTAAAAAATAATTTTTTTCATTTTATTTGAAATAATATACAAGAATATAGTGTGCAAAATTTAGGGGCAACAGAATGAAGTGTAATGAACTGAAATCAGTTTTCCAGCTGTGATTCCTAACCAGAAACACTGCTTGGTAAGTAATATCTGAAAAGCCATGATTGTAGCTCAGAGCAAAAGCATCTGTATTCCCAGTGTGTTTGCTCTCATTGTAGACATTTGGGGGAGAGTAAGGTGCAAGTGCTGCACTGTAACTGCAAAGCCTGCCCCCACCAGAGAGATACGATGACACATATGATGTTAAGATAAGTAAGTGGCTGAGGAGATATAGGACACAAAGTTAAAAATACAACGGTGTCAACTGTTAATAGCACCATTACAGTGGCTATATCCCAGTGCTGTTAACTAACTTGACTTTGGCCTGGGCTGGGCCTGCACCGCAGTAAGGGATGAGTGCTGCCACCCGGTGCCTCAGCTCAGCATGCTCTGGGAACCACAGCAGGTGGTGCTTAGGTGGGACACTGACACCATCCACCTGTTCCTTGTTCTGGTCACCTCTTGGCACTAGCCAGACTAGGAGCCCCTGTGTTTGGTATAGACAGTACACTTTTTGTGCGTACTGGAGTCCTATCACAGACTGCAGACTCAGCCGCCTGCAAGAGAGAAAGTGCAGCTGTACTCAAGTCTCTGCTGGCTTTCTCTTCATCTCTAGGTACAATGATTTCAAACATCTTTGCTGAGGGAGAGCGCCCAGGTGGAAATGGGAGAGCTCCCAGGTGGAAATGAAAGAGCAGAAAGTACTTGGAATTTATTTTGTCACTTACCTTTAAGAACAGCTTTACTGTTTTTATTTTTTAATGCCCATTTTAACAAATTCAAATACAGAAAATTGTAAAGCACAAAGTGATGTCATCCAGATACTTACTACTGAGACAACCAATTTCATACTCATAGATCTATAAAAACAGTTTTATGTAAAAGAGCTTATTCATGTATTCTGTGACCAATGTTGCTCAGTTGTAAGCATGAAATCTTTTTAAGTCAATAAACATGGAGGCATAGCATTACCCTGAGTATATCTATCATAATTCACATACCAGTTCTAAACTTAGTTGTTTCACCAATTTGTGAAGCTACTAAAAGCAATGCTGAGATACCTTGTGCATATCTTTCACTACTTTTAGAAATATTTAAATGAAACTGTCTAATGTCTTTGGGATTAACAACACAGTAAAAATCCCAAAGTCATACTTAGAAGAAATTAAAAATATGTGCAGCTTCTTTATTCTCTATTTACATCTATAGAAAGCAGTTGTCTCTTTCCTCCTATAGAATACAACAACCTTGAAATGCTGTAATTTTTTTTTTTTTTTTGGTGGAGGGGAGGAAACTAGGTTTATTTATGTATCTATTTTTTAGAGGAGATACTAGGGATTGAACCCAGGACATCATGCATGCTAAGCATGTGCTTTACCACTTGAGATATACCCTCCCCCGAAATGCTGTAATTTTGATCATCTCTCATCCTCTTTCTTGTCTCACCTGATACGGTGTTCAGAATTTTGGTTCTATCTTGTTATTTTTTGTTATTGTTTTACTTTAATTTGAAATTTCAAGCACATAGAAAAGTTAAAAAATAGTTCAAGGAACACATGTATATACCTCACCTAATTTTATCAATTATTAGTATGTTCTCTCCCTATCTTCTGTCTTTCTCTCTCTCTTTCCCTTAGAGATATTTCTCCACTATGTATTGAAAGGAACATTTATTATATTTTATCCAAAATTTGTAGATATTATATAGCAAGAAGGTTTTCCAGTTATCCAGCTGTCTGTACTGCTAGAAATGGAAGTCCTATATTTATCAACTTGTATTTTGCTTTTTTCACAGAGCAGTACATAAATTTTTCATGGTTCCACAGAAATAACTGGCTGCAAATTTATCCTTTATAATAATCTGAAAAATAATTTTAAAAAATTAGTAAATTATTTCTTTAAAAACAATCATCATATTCAACTTTTTCTACGTGTGACCTGTGTGGTAATATTGTCCTTCAATATTTTATGTGTCTATTTATACTCTCCCTGGATGTTTAATTTTATTTTTATAAACATCGTCCCCTCTGACTTACATTTTGCTTAATTTTAAAAAGAAATTTAGAGTATGTTGAATAGGTTAAAAATAAACAAACACCAACTGCATCGTGCTGTATTTCTCAGAGATGGAAAGAATGTGAGAAGCATCCCAGGCAGAGGAACTTGCCTATGCAAAGCCCTGGGAAAGAAAGAAGCAAGGCACATTTTCTAGGAATAGAAAGAAGGCCACTGTACTAAGCAGAGCAAATGAAGAATGTGAGACTAGGCTGAAGATGTAGTTGGGAGTGGCCCTCGGGACCTTTAAAGTGGTGTTAAGAATTTAACTGTGTCTTTTAAGAGTAAGGCTAAGCTGCTCAGGTTTTTTAATTAGAATTGTATTTGAAAAGAGGACTCTGACTGCGGTGGAAAGAACAGTCTGGAAGGCACAAGAGTGGGTTATGGGAAGACCAGGGGCGATTACTGTAATAGTCCTAGCAAGAAATATTGCCGTGGAATGGAGTGCTGGCTTTAGTGATGGAAAGAAGTAAAAGAGAAAGGGAATAGTTAGGAAATGCATCTTGCTAAAGTGATGAGCAAACCATTTTTGAGGGTTCACTTGGTCCTCTAACTTATGGAGAGTCAGCTGACAAATAGAAAGTTCCCTACTGTGGAAGCCAAGGAGGTTCCACATTTGGATCTCTTTGCAAGGAGGAGCATGCTGTTCAGCTACAAGGAACTGTCCACCTTGGCTTTCAGGCTTAGGCCACGCTCCTTCTGGACAGCCCCAGCCAACCACTGATCCCGGCAGGGCTGCCAGGTCTGATCATTTCTGCCCAAGGCTGGACTCCTCTAACAGGCAGTCTGCTCTAGACAGGTTGACTGAGACTTTATCAAATTTGTGTTGGCCTGAGGCTCTCTCTCCTGCTTCCTCTTCTGTTTCCTTTTCCAAGTGTCAGAGCTGCATCCTGGCCTGAAGGCTGTCTCTGCTCAATCCTGTATCCTTTCCCTTTGTCTTTCATAGGCTTCATTCCCCAATAAACCTCCTATTTAAATAAACTCAGTCTCATTATCTGCCTTTCTTAGGACCTACCAACACACCTGACAAATAATGGGGTTAGGGATATCTGGTGAAGGATATCTGATCAGCTATGACAGTATCTCCACAAAGGCCATAATTGCTAGGCCATGATTCACTAATTGTCTGCTCAAGTTTCTCAGAATGTTAGGCAACCAGACTCTCCCATACTTCCAAGGAATCCTGCATTATTTTGGAGTAGCTCTTTGGAGATGGAGAATTAAGAGAGAAAAGAGCAGAAGAGATTTTACAGGCCTAATCTCTTCAGGTAGAAGGAAAGGCTATGAAAAGAACTAGCCTAGGCTGGATCCAGTTCACTGTGAATTGTGTAATCAGCTGGTTTACCACTCATGATATTATTTAACACTATGGAACCCAAACTTTGGAAAATGTACTTTTTTTTAACCTTTTTTTCTTATTTTAAACTTCAAATATAGTTGATCTATAATATTGTGTTAGTTTCATGTGTACAGCAAAGTGATTCAGTTATACACTCTTTTTCAGATTCTTTTCCATTATAGGTTATTATAAGATATTGAATATAGTCCCCTGTGCTATACAGTAGGTCCTTGTTATTTATCTATTTTGTGTATAGTAGTATGTATCTGCTAATCCTAAACTCCTAATTTATCCTTCCCTCTTTCCCCTTTGGTAACTATTAATTTGTTTCCTGTGTCTGTGAGTCTGTTCTATTCTGTAAGTAAGTACATTTGTGTCTGGAAAATGTACTTTTGAACTGTACTGTAAGAATCATAGGGACAGAATTCACACTTATATATGGGGAACTTTTTCTCCGACAAACCATGTTCCCACTATCACTCAACTTGGGGAAAAGTTGGTTCAGACACAGAAAGAAGCTGAGGACTTGAGAGGTGGCCTGTGTCTTTTAGAGGAGAGAAAGTCTTCCTCTCCCCTCTGGGACTCAGCAGGGGCTGGGGAGGTGTTGTGTCTGTATTCTGAGGCCAAAGTGAGAGGTTAGAGTGGTCAAGCAGGTCTTTGGGTGACAGGGTAAGCTGTCGGAGATCCGGTGCAGGAGCCAGGCTGGGAGCTAACTCGGCCGGAGAGCCCAGGGCGGATCTGGGATTGAGCTGTAGTTGTAAAGTATTTTTTGTGTTGTACTCCTTCCCTGAGCTTCCAGTAAAACTATGGCTTAATCAGTGTTGTGAGGAATTAGTTAAAAGTTATGCCCACATTTGGGCAAATCTATGAAAGAAGCATACTGCCCAGGCTGTATGCCCATGTGAACCTCATCCACCACGCATGTCAGAATTTATAGGGCCCAATGAATGATATCCCTATTTCCTGCCCACATGTGGAACCTATTGAGAAAAAAATGAAAGAGGAAAGCAGCAAGAGAGAAAAATGTCACCTTTATTGCCATTAAAGGCAGTTGAAGGATGTAGATTAGGTATGTTAGCCAAGGGGATTACTTAATATTTCACCCCTAAATTAAACTTACCTGCCTCCTCGTAGATGGTGCTGGACAACCACGTGAAAAAGTAGAGGTGACTGTGCACCCAGAGATCAGGCAAAACTCAAGACAAAAGAAGGAGGAAGAACTTGAAGATGTTCAGCTTCTTCTCCCAAAATCTCCATTGAAATACCTCACTCCTCCCCTAGGGACCAGACCATAAACAGGGCAGAGAAAGGCCAGGGGTATTAGACATGAAGCCAGAGCAAAGGAGATATCCCATTCCCCGGAATAGTTTGAAGCAGTGAGTGTCAAGGCCCATCATTGTAAATGTCTGGATTACAACATCACAATTAGAAATTTGCTGAAATGAAGACCAGAGAAATAAACATAAAAATTTATTAGTTATGATCACTTTTATTTTACACTCATCAAATAGAACACCCAGATGTGCAATAATAATTAAAATCATTCATCTTCACTATTTTGCCAATTTTTAGTCATATTAAGAAACATAGCTTTACATATATTTCAGTTTTATTACTCTGAAGGTATATTTCTCAAGGTTGGAGGATGGAACAGATTTTACTACACAGTTTGTCTACGTGATTGATCATCTCTACATATGTAGACATTTGGTGTGTGGGCTGCCGGTTGAATTCTTGTACTACTTTCCTGATTTAGCCTGAGTAACTTGCAGCCCCACTGTGGCAAGAACTGGAGGGATTGGGCCCATCCTGGTCAGTTTCTCATGTGGGAGTGCTTTGGGACTGACAGGGCTAAGAGAGGGGTGGACTTATTCCCTGCTTTTGGGCAAAATAAACAAAACGTGCTACAGGGAACTTGGTCAGTTGCATATGTCAGAACTGAAGGGGCATAAGCATCCCCAAGCCCCCCCCCCCAATATCCAAGGAGTTCTAGTCCAGCAGGCAGGGCATGCCAGCGGGAGTCTCCTAGTGGGGAGATGTGATGCATGGTGAGCTGAAGGGCAGTGTTGGGTGGTCCATTAGCTTCCAGCAGGACGGCAGATAAGCTATGGGGGCAGGGAGGTGAAAGCCCGGTCTTATCCCTAGGAAAGAAAAATGACAAAACCTAGGCATCTTACAAGTACCCGAATCCATTGCCAGGGAAGATTCTACTTCTGGCAGAGTATCCTGGTGTCTAAAGCCGACACTGCAACAAATTTTAGACACACACACCCTAAGCCAACATAGCAGGTTATTGGGAAGGGTACAGCTTAGAGGGTAGTAGTAGGGGCCCAGAGCTCACCCAGGAAGTGTGGAATTGGCAGACATGTAGGGCTAATAACAGTAGAATTAATCCCAGACACCATCTGTGGGTGAAAATGAGCTCTAGATATTT